TAGTAGCAAATCCAAGCGGATTCCATCATAGAATCCTACTGGAAAAATCCTGATACATATACCGGATTTTGTCCACTTTGCTACTAAGGTACTTTTCTGAATGGTTGGCCGCTTTCGTTCAAGTAAATATACACCTAGTTTATGTTTGAATGCTGCTGTCGTGTCCGCCATCATAAGGTCCTCGGGGAGAGTGAAAGTGGTACGCTTTATTTTGAAAATATCATTCCAAAATTTTCAACAAAACGTCCTCCGTTCTAAAAGAATAAAATTTGACGCACAAACGCACAACACCGGGATCTCAAAAGAAATCCATAATTGCAAATGACTGCAATTTTCGACATTATGGATAAATGTCCTGGGAACGGTCGTCGAATATAGGCCAAATTGGACTGCTTTCAACGCGGCGCTAGCGTTGTGACCTTGTGCCCTTGTGACCTCATTGTATTTCAAATAAACAAAGAGGGATAAAGACCGGTTCATAATCGACGAAGTATGCTAACCGACGTGTATATCAGAAAATTTACTTGCGAGTAGTGGGAGAGGAAAAATGGCATCTCAAATTGAAAAGCCCGTCCGTTCCAGGCGCCGACAACATGGTGCGAAAATTATTATCCTGGTTGGTATACGGTGTGGAAGTGTGAAGGGTAGAGGAACTGAAGAGCACAAGTCGGACCAACCCGAACAGTCCTGTGAAATTACGTCCTCTTTTGGTGTACTAGTGAAATTTTCAGGTAGATGCAAGGTGTACATCCCGTGAAAGTGGCTTATTCTTTCTTCTTAGTTTACCCCTGCCTATCCGACTCTTAATAAAAAATTTTTCGTCGGCATGCTAATCGTGGACCATTTTGCTCCCCCTAAACAGAAAACAAACGCAACTACGATGTCACAACTTTCTACAACTCCAGCGACGAGGAGCCGTACGATGAATTGATGAAGGATCTGATTAAGTCCAAACGAAAAATCAAAAGGCTTGCCAAAGGTATGGATTTCTCCTTTTTACATTGCCCTTCCCCTTCTTACCCCCCTCCACTTTCGCCTTGCTGGCATGGAAACTGCAACCCGCCTTGACTTGCGGGAGACGTTTGTGCAATTGTATTTAAATATTTCTACTATCATAAATTGAGTAGGCCATTTCGTGTCATGCAAATTTTTTAACATAGTATCCGGCCCCTGAAACCGAGCTGAAATATAGTTCTCCCTCCGTGCTAGTGCCTCCCTCGTCAGTTGCCCTTTCGGAATCGCTCAGCACAACTCTGATTGGTTTTTTCCTTCTGCCTTTAGACCGTGGTGAGGTTTTATTTAATTCCTCTGCCAACGGTGAATTTACCTACCGTATTTTCCGGACTATAAGATACACTTAAATATCTTTGATTTTCTAAAAAACGACAGTGCACCTTATAATCCGGAACGCCTCATATATCGATTAATTCTGGTTACTGACCTCCAAGCGACTTCGCGGGATACACAGTGTTGCGTTATCCGTATTCAGGAGCGTCGTGGAGTAATATATACCATAATATTACAGTGTCTCAGTATGGACTTCAAAATGACACCTAAAAAGCGACGAGCTTAAGACGCGGACAGAGAATTATTGTGAATTCGCTAACGTTTGATTTAGTGGGTATCAGACTGTGTTTTATTTAAGTCTTACAAC